TCCGCGGGCTGCCTGTCACGCGGTTCGACGAATCGCTGTCATCCGCATGTTACCGAAGGAATGAAGCTGTGCGCGTGGGCCCCGCGACCCCTTCGTCTAACGAAAAACGAGTGTCGCTGACTTTTCCGCCGTACACATCTCTCTCAACCCTTACCACCCAAGCAAAAACCGTCCCCTGGGACCGAAACCGGGTCATTAAACGGCCGTACATCATCCACGCGAGACGTATCTCACGGGCGGGGCACCGAAGGGTGCAGAATACCAGCCCCGCCTCGTCTCATTAGCCGCGAAATATTTCGAGTCCTATCGACAACGAGCTGTGGATGCTGTTGTTAAGACTCTAATTTTTAAATGATAACATTAACTTTACATACTATTTACGAGCCTTCTTCCGCTATGAAGTTTTAACTCTCCTTATAAGATTATCAGAGGAAAATATACAGTTTTGCAAAGTATCTAAAAATTTAACTAACTACAAATCTGAAAATAATTTTGTTTGGACATCAAAATAATTATGTGCATTATTAGATATCAGAGCACCAATGGTAACTCAATTCTTTACATAACATTCTGCTATTTTTAATTTCTTTGTATGTTAAAATCAATCTTTTCTATGATTAGTTCCAAAGTAAGCAATATTCATATTAACATATGTTTATTTAATAAATAATAAATTTGAGTCAAATTTAATCAATATTTTTTCGAGTTTAAATCGTTTAACTCCATTATTTTAATTAAATTAATGACATACTGAAAGGGGGAGGAGCAGTGACGACCTAAAAATGATTAAAAAGAATTCAAATTGGGTATAGATTAACATTATGAATTTAACAGTGCAGGATGCTTAAATTAGTGCTAGAATATTAAAATTTTTGCAATATTATCATTAACGTTTGAGCGTTTTATATAATTATTTTAATGATTTATCAAAATTATTTTATATCTGTATTTAAATTTTTTAATACTTCAAAGTCGTTCTTTCCATATGAAATTGTGAATTTATCTTTTTATACATATGCAATTTTATCGTTGACAAAATTTAAGTACACTTAGAAAACTACGTTTTTGAGAAGCATGTATTGTATTCGATTTCACAACGAACAAATATAGTTCTACTAGAGAATCTTTTTTCTCCATTAATAACCGCGCTTGTTCATATCTGATGACTTCGCGTAGGTTACATTAGAATTCTCGTGCCGTGCCTCGGGATATTCGTTCGAGACTCGAAGCGCGTGCCGACACATCGGTGTCGTTGTACGGACACGCTTAATAATACTACGTATCGGTGATCGGTCTCAACTGATATGCCGAACATAGAGCGCACGAGACGACGTAAGCGGGCCTGCTCGTACGACAGAGGGGCCTGTTCGTCGCTTTCTTATTGTCTACCCTATATGTCTCCGGAAGCAGGGCCAATCCGCCGGAAAGACGAGACCGTTAACCCGCACGATCCCGAGACCTTGCGGCCGTGCATGCCAACGCTGCATTATTGGCTTTTTGTATGCTCATGTTAAGTGGTCGTCGCGCACGCTTGCGCATAATGCGCCAGATCCTTCGCACCTCCCGGTTCCGATTTAAGGGATAGTTCTAGGCGTTATCGAAACGTTTCGCATGATACTTTTGCCATTACTGGCGAGGATGATAATAATAATCGTTTCACAATAGAATTAGTTGATGAGTTGATAATATAACTATCACGTAGTTAATAAAAATAACTTTGTGGTTAATGTAGTTTTCCACGTTACAAGAAATAATATAAAAAATAATTTATAATATAAGCAATAATAATTTATAATATAAATAATAATTTATAATATACATAATTAACAATACAGAGAATAATTAATTTATATATATAAGATGTACGTTTTTTATTTATAATATAACTTAATGCGATATTCCTTGCGCTTTAAACGATGTAAGATATGAAGAGAAAGTTTATATATGCTAAGAAACTGTCTACAAGAAAATTATAACATGTGATACAAAGTGATAATGCACGCAGAAGAATGATGAATAAACAAAAGTGAGCACTTTAAAGTCAGTTCTTTTTCGCTTCCGGTTGTTGCAAAAACAAGAGCTAAAGGGAATAGAAGTAACACATTCCTTTTAATGATAAGATATAATAGGCGTTCACAATAACGGGCACCTCAGGCATTGCTTCTTAAACATCAATGTAAGCATTTCTTATTAGCTTCACCTATATGGCACGATGTTAAAAGATATCGCGTGCATACAATTCGATAAAGGGCTGAATATAATGCGTTTTATATGCGAGTCAAGGAAAGTTTTCACGTTTGTTGTGCAAATCCGTTCGTCTCGAAATACGAAGAAAACGCGAGAACGGGGCGTGTCGCCGACGCGCACGAAACTTTCTGAGTAGACGCGCATTAGCTAAATAAGCATAATTTCACGAAAAAGGAAAAAAAATCAGTTATTCTTTCGACAATCCTTCGCAAAGGATAATCTGATAAGGATGTTTTCCAGCAAAAAACACAGATGATACAATATAACGTAGTGAATTATTACATCCTTGTTGTTTGCCAATATTATACGAAGATGAAATGATGATCACTGATATCACTGTGTTACATTGTGTCTCTTGCTGGAAAGCACCAAAGAAATATATATAAAAGTTTACTTCGAAAGGAAGACATTTCCGATTGCCATTTAATGTCTTTGTCCAGAGCTGACGCAGGTGCAGCTACGATTGCTTCGCGGCTGTCGCCTGTATCGCCTGTTGACAATTCATAGAACTCGCGCGTGTAGTTCCGGTGCGGCACAGGGCCCACGGACCCGGCGCGGTGGGCCCCCGTAAAGGAGGACCTCGGTTGCTCGGCCACGACTAGAGCGAATGGATGCTAAGCAAGCTGTATTATCCGATCACTTCCTTGCATACGAAGCAGCCATCGCCGGAAGTGCGTCATGCATGGTAGTATAGATTCCACGCGATGACCGCTGTTGTCAACCAGGTTCGCTGTTTTGCCTTTAGAGGAGCGTCTCTCTCGCTCCTCGCGTTATGGCGAAATATTTAATCGTCGATTATACATACATATATTTTTTTTCTCCGAGAAGCAGCGAGATATCGAACGCCTCGATCAACGTCATTGACGTAAAACGCTGGAAATTGAATCTTTATCAATTTGTTGACACGCGTCAGCGGTATAGATATTATGTAGAAAAAGATTAATGCTGTGACCGTAACACTTAGAATAGAATTTCCCAGACTGCACCAGAGTTATACACGACTGAAATGTTTTCTGCTTAAAAATAGAGGCTGTTTTTTTTAAGAAAAAAAAAACAAACCACTAAATTAACATACAGTTTGCCCCAGTTAAATGGCATGCCATATGTATAGTGCGAATTTTTAATACTAGCCTTAAAAATTTACAATTAAAATTTCTCAAACGATGTGTTTTCCAATGTATGTATATTACAAACGATAGGAGCTGGATTGTGGATACGTTCTAATATTGTTCAATCGACCAAAATCATATTTAAATATATTAGGTGTTGGAATTAATTCGTAGCGTTTTACAAGTGATGGGAAGTACTTTCATTAATGTATTTTTTAATGCTCATGTGAAATAAATAACATTCTTTCATTAAAAAACGCTACGAATTAATTCCAACACCTAATAAATACATTCCGACTTTTCTCCTGGATGGTGTCGAAAAGTAACGATTAAGTTTAAGCAAAATTATAAATGGAAAGCAATGTGCGTCGATTTATATCAAAAGTGTCAACTGCAAAAGGAAAACAGCCAAGTTTTATTAGCGATCGAGGCCCATATTCGCTATGATCGAAAGTGACCCAACTGTGATATTCATACAGAAATATTTCAAGCGTGGACCGGCTAATGTCCAACAGTAATATATATATTATTGGTCATATTTACATAAATACATCGTGTGTATACGCAATAACGCTTCGTTTGTATGAAATGCGCGCTGTTATAACAGTCGAAGTTTTTCGAATCTGCCTCAATTTCGTAAACTGGCGAGATCCCGGAAACTAAGCGGGCTAATTATCGATATTTCAGATGACCTCGCGTCAATCGTTCGCAACGTCGCGTCACGTTGCGTCACATCGCTTGCGCCGCTTCGAATACTTTCTCCAAATTTTTAATCTCAATTATCCCGGTGATCCGACTTGAAATTATCAAACAAGACCTTTCGCCGACCACGTCAGACATGCTACGACCGATTCCGAGTGCGCGAGAAAAAACGTGGCGACAGCTCCGGGTCACTTGAGCGCTAATTTATTGGAATGTTTATGTGTTTCTCTCGCCGTCTTATCTCCGTCCGTACACCAGCGTATCGACCGTAGAGAGGAAAAGGAGCACATACAACCTGATCTTTCTCTCTTTTTCTCTCTTTCTTGCGATGGAAAAGGCATTAAAGTGCGTTGTCGTTGAAAATACATAATGCATCGCAGAGATTACGGGTAATTAAGATTCGTCTGCGTCTTATAGATTTGCAAAAGAACACTATGCTCTTGCTATAGAGTAGGAGTATCCTTTCTATATAACACTGTTTCGGTGACATTAAAATAATTATCACGTCGTATTATCAGCTGTAAGCTATCAATACTAAGAAAATAAATAAAATTATAGCGTGGCATTTCCTATCACTCACGAGAATCTTTCGAGAAATTTTTATTTTTTTATGAAAGCTGATATGATACATTTATTTCACTCGGATTGCCTTCGCTCTTTATGCGAATACATTTTTCTGATACCAGCTGGTTAGACATTATCTAAGTCAATGAGTCAATTTTTTGGCAATTGTACACTTCCGTTTAAAATGATAATCAGGAATCGTCTAGTTTGTTTGCATCCAGATGCAGTTTGTTATCTAATTAAATGGCTGTTGTTTTGGATCGTGCTTGAATCTGTATACACAATAGATATCGGACATACGCGAAATCAATATACACTAAATGTGTAATGCATGTAATGCGTGTAGTCAATAATTCGGAAAATATTTACAAGACTTACCCATTGAAGGGGTAATTCGCAAAAGCAGCATCGTAAGGGTGATACATCGAGGGATAAGGCCACGCTGCTGCGGCTCCAGCGCCCAGATTTTCTTTAAGATCTAGACCGGCGGCCTGTAACAACGTACAAACAAATAAATATCTTACTATTTCAATTCTGCAATATATTATGATATATATAAAAAAGAATAACAAAGGACGAGGTAAAAGATAATGATCGACAAATTAACGACAATGACGATAAGAATAATTGTTGTAGGAGATTGTTTTATGTCGAAAAAGAACAGTTTTATGCCACATAGTTTTTTTCGAGGCTATTAATAAATATATACGTGTTTATATATCTATATATACATATCATATTAGCGGTTGCAACAATAATTTTCATAAGTGGCCATACTGATTTGCATGACATGGATTTATTTCGATTATTATTGCGTATATGTATGTGCATTCTCCGAACCCGGTCACTCGTTATCACAACGTTTAAATGAAATCGCGCAGAATGCGGTTAATTGCTCGAAAGAGATCCATTTTTCGGAACGAACGTCGCAATTAGTTTATATCAGTCGCACGGCTCGGTTCGATCTCTGATGCATCAATGATGATGAAAGAATAGCTGGCAAAGCGCTGATAATAATAATTAGGTTCGATGTGTGTGGCTCTCTTGTTTGCTTCTCTAACCCATGACCTCGCTTATACGACAGGATAGTCACTATTAAATTTCTGCTGTATTTTATCTAGCGGGTATAATAGACTCATGAAAGATTTTTTTCTTTCTTTCTCTTTCTTTCTCTCATATTCTTTACTAAAGCTATAAAACGTCCTCTCTGATGAAAATTTTAGTCAATATAATATTGAGTAAATTTTGGAATATCCTAAGTATTAATTTTTTTCAATTTTTTTCGTCTTTTTTTAAAGAATTTCTTTTTCTTTTTTCAACCTGTTGTATTTGTACATTATTTTTTATAGCACTTCATAATTAACCAAAAATTTTATGAATACATTTTTTCTTTTTGTATTTTTGTTTTTAAGAGTGCCTTTAGCCCATATCAGATTGTAGGTTGACAATTACGATTAATGGTTCCTCGGTTTTGTTTCAGCCAATCACGATGTAGCGAGTCTATCATGATTGGCTGAAATAGAACGAGGTAACCATCAATCGAAATCGTCAACCTGTAATTTAATACGGGCTTTAAAGGGAATATATTCCCAAGTCACTAGCTAAATAAATGATCTCTCTCTCTCTCTCTCTCTCTCTCTCTCTCTCTCTCTCTCTCTTTCGCATGATACATATACGTATCATACATAATAACATCTTAACTTGATATGTTATTAATCCTCTGTCTTCAATCTGAGTTTTTTAAGCGAAATTTAATTCAAATTTCTAACATAAGGAAAGGCGAAGTCTCATTTCTCCTCTTAAAGAACTATTTAGTAATGTAACAAAGATATTGAAAAGTAACTCTGAATTTTTTTAAGACTCTAGAACAATAAAAAAAACTTAGGAAAAAATTCAGATTGTAGACAGACGAAGTAAAAATATGAATACAGTCAGAAGATTAATATCAGATATCCGAAATACACACAAAATGACAGACGAAATGTTTTTACACGATAACGTTCGGGGCTTTGCAAAAAGCAATGTTTGCGACAGGAATTACGCTATATAAATCTACGAAACCGCAGCCAGATAATCACCATGAACAGTGTAAATGCGAATACCGCAGAGCAGGGGTTAGAAGATAAACGTTTTCTTTAAAAAGCGATACTTAATGACTTTATACAAGTAATATCACGAACGTCACATAGTCTGTGCACGACCTGTACAATCTGCTGCCTCGTTATGAACAGGCTATGGCTATATACTCGCACCCCTTAAGCTCGATCATAAAGAGCGACAATAACAACTCGGTCTTAGTGACAACGACTCGGCAATACGCGACTGTGTCCTACTGTTACGGTAGAATGGATTCATAAATTTTCGCTTCGTCGCTATTTCTTCGTACACGCTTCGCGTGTGGTCCGATAACGCTTGTCCAACGCATGGACGAACACACAAAAGCACTTCTTTTAGATTATACATTAATAACTCTTCCCCAGTCACCTAATCATGATGACATCGCGAATCGCTGCATGAGAAGGGAATAACGGTGTGAAACGAAAAGAAGTGCTTTTTTTTCTGCACGCGTAAACGAAAGGCGCGAATTGCGTCACATCGAAAAAATTGGATCGCTAAACTTTGTTAATCCGCTAAATAAACACGTCATTTCGAAACATTCAACGAAGCCATGAATATAAAAATTCGTATCAGAATTTAATCTGCACTCAGTGATACAGAAATATAGAAGTTCGTTCATACTGAGATTTAATCCACGTGATAAAAATTTTACGGCAGAATATAACGTTGCTACTATTGCTGGCTCGCACGAAGCATTTATCGATATTGGAGAGCTATGTTAAACATTTCGACGATCTGAGATCAACGGTAGTGCGCAGGAACGCGGAAGTACTGAGGAGAAACCTCGCATCTCGAGCTTCCAATGAACTCGACTACGTTCAAATATTAACCTTTTAGTACTTTACGCCAAATTTGAGCATTTGAAAGAATGGCAAGTAGAATACGAAAATATTGACAGAATTGTTGTAATTTCTACTCGGAGTATAAAAGAATCTTCTTATACACGACATTTACGAAAATATTTGCATAGAGTTATAAATGCATTATAAAGGATTGTCATTTAATGGTTTGTAATATCTTTAAATCACATTTCACATGATATCATATTTTGTTTTTAAATACTTATATAATAACATTAACTTAAAACAATTATTTTTCTCTTATACGCTATATTCAGCATGATGATATACATATTTATTTAGCTTCATTTTAAAATTTCTAAATGCGTTAACTCAACACTTTGTCCGATAGTGTGATATTAATTCTATAGTTACACACGCATAAGGGAAATTAATTTGTTACGTAGTTGCTTACAGGAAATAAATAATGGAAATTACTGATTGTATAAATATCTTAGGCTATTCGTATCGCCGCCTAGCATCTTCACATCTGGAATTTCCGCTTGAGGCTTTTTATAGTATTATGCAGAACAAACAAGATGAGTTACATAAAATGCACTATATCATGAAATACATTTGCTTGTTTCGTCTCTAACAAAAGAAATAAATAGTTAGCCATATGAAATACAGCTATACGAAATCCAGAATTTCCGGATTATATTATCATCGATGGAATCGTAAAATCCACGATATCCTTTGTTTCACGAATTGTTCTAGTCGTGCATCGATATTATCTCTTCCCCAGGCTTGTAGATACTACTTTCCTCACCGCAAGGAAATTCTAGAAAGTTTACACCATATCCCGTTGCGACAAAATATTATTACAATCAATTCAAAGGCTAGTGTCGAGCGCGGCGTAGTTCAACCGTGTGAATGATTATAAGTTATATATTTTAGTGGAAATAATGCATGCGAAGTTTGCACAGAATGGAAAAAAATCCTTCGTTCATAGTCGTGGAAAGAAAAAAACGCGAGCATAGAACTGTCGAATTTTGATTTCACGAATTTTTACCTCAGTCCTTTTCGTTTCATTGTACACTCAATAGCATTGACTCACCGTGGGCGTGTAGAAGGGTGCTTGCTCGGCGCCCAAGCTAGGAAAGTACGCAGCCATACCCTCTGACGCCGCTGCCGCGGCGGCAGCTGCGTATGGCGCGCTGTACATAGAGAGCGCGGCCGTGGGTAAGCCACCTAGACGCTGATAGCCACCCAGCAGTTCGTACTGGCAGGAGCAGACGGTCTGGCCTGTCAGTGGATCCGTGAAGATCGGCCGACCGGTATCGCAACACCTGGCTGCAGTAGGACCCCCGGCCGATGGTGGCGGATGACCCTGAGACGGGCTAACCGAGGTAGTGGGACTGCCAGGCGGTCTCACAATCGCGCTCGTCACTGCCATCCTCGCTTGCGACAGACCGGCTACGTCCAGAGGATGATTCGTCGTACTGGCGGCTACGCTGCTGACCAGGGACGAGCCGCCCGCGCTGAGGATTACACCGGTGACAGGCGAGGCCGAGGACGGCGCCAACGACGAGTTCACTGTCACAGGACACTGTAATCAACAAGATCGTAGAGTTCTAATTAGTATCCAATTAAAAATTGATTTAATTAATTGATTACATACACGTGAGATTTTTTCCAAATTAAATTCAAGTTAAATTCTTTGTGAGATCTATGCCTGTTTCTATCAATGTATTTTATTACTTTAACTTTCTCAGTTTCAACTTACTCTGCATCTTTTTTTTATTCTTAGAACTAGAAAAGTATGAAGAGAAGATTAAGTATGAAGAGAATTTTAATTAAGATTAAAATTAAAAAGTACATTGGTAGAAACGAGAGTTAGGCGCACATATCTCGTTAAAGATTAGATACATTGTCGCTACGAAATCTCAAAGTATCGACTACATGTTACGACGTGTTGCAGCTGGCGAATAATATGAGGCGATCTCCGTTATGAAAAGGTGAACGCAACTGCATCAGGCTTCCCCCTTTTATTTCCACGACTAAATCGAAAATCTACGGCTCTGGGCATAATGTCTGCGAGTCTCATTAATTCCATATCAAACACTACGGCTAAATAGATTAGCGGGTTGAGTGCCTTTCGCGCCCGGGAACCTAAACAAATCCCTGTGCAACACTCCTACCCCGTAGAGAGATGCTCCCCGCGATTGTCCCAGCCAGCCATCCATCCATCCATCCATCCATCCATCCATCCATTGCCTCGTTTCGGTAGCCCCAAACATATTGTCGAAACCCCCGTACGCATTGTGCTGGGGCGAAAAACCCATGCGCGATACGCATTATGGCGTCGAGAGAGAGTCGCGTTAATGCGTGTCCTCGATGCGTCGTCGATGTTTCGAGGGCCAACTGTCGCACGTTGGCTAAACGCGTGTGCGTATGTACGACAAATACCGTATTTCCACTATGTTTCGACGCGCGTTGCGATTGACGACGATAAAGCTAATATAAAACAATTATGCATTATCCATATAAAGCAATTCTCCGATTTCAGATAAAAAAAAATGTGCTTTAGAGTACAATTTCTCTTGTATCGACGAATCGATTTAAATATGAAAATATCTGATAGATCTAATTTTACAAAAAGAAAAAGAAAGGAAATTCTCTCGATTTAAAAATACGTTCGATATTCGCATCGTGCGCAAAGGCGAAGGAACTGATCCTTCGCCGAATGCATAACCATACATCCATTCTCTCTCAGAAATCGTAGATTCCAGGGAGTTCGAGGGAAAAGCTGACGATGGCAAGAATGCGCTTCGCGACTCCGGATCGGGCAAAGGGTTAAACGACGAAGCGTGTTGGCGAGTGTCCGCTAGCACGGGTCATAACTTAGTCCTAGTCCTCGAGAGAGGAAGCCAGTTGAGTTATTTGATGCGATCGCATCGAAGCTGCTTGCCAGTCGCAACCGTGCAAACCACAGCGGCAACTATATCACCTCTGTGCGAGGTGTCGCACAGTGCCTAACGTAGTGTTCTTTACAAATGAAATCTTATTCTATCATATTTTTTACAAAGTAAAATTGATGCAATATTTAAAAAATTCTATCATAACAGAATTGAATTTTTCTCTATTCTTATTTTCTATTATTTTTCCTTCATTAAATTTTATTTATTTTTTCAACCAATATAATAATTATTAAGTGGAAACTGTAATATAATTTCCATAATATGTTACATATACGTATTTGTGTATATATAGGATGACAAGAAAATCATACAGTTCTCTGTTTTTATCAAATCATTACTCAGATAGCACATTATTTATCGTTATTTTCATATTAATACGATCACAAACAGTATTAGCTAACCTGAGTATGTAATAATATATATTTATGAAAAACTCTGGAGTATGTTAGTTATATCTTATTAAATATCAAAAGGACTCTGCATCAAAAAAAGATCTTTATTAGTTGATGAAAAAACTAAAAATACTCTATTGATTGCCCGGGAGAATTTATTTACAAAAAGATGCGCGGCCGTTGATGCGTTCCAAAAATGTTTTAAAATTTGTACCAAAGCTAAAAGTAACTATTTTTTAAATGTTAATTATTAGTTTTAGATATAATTAAAACTTCAGAGTAAATATACTAATTTGATGAACACAAAACTTTGTGATCAAACTTTTTTGTTACCCTGTATAGATAAAGCATGTTTATAAAATTCTTTAATTTGTCAAAGATCTTATCATAAATTTTCGATGATTTATTAATATACATTAATAATCCAAGAGAGAATATTTATGAGCGCACATGCCTTGCAGAAAAATTTGACAGAATTGAAAAAGTATTATATTAGGTTTAAGCACCACTGGCTTCATTGGTGTCGCGCTGGCTCCTTTGAAGTAGCAAGGCTTCGTCGAAGCAGTATTACGTGGCATACAGCGTGCCAGTAGCTATCGACGAAAGCAATAATTATTCGTACGGCGTATATGTGTCGATATATCGACGCATTAGCTGTTCGTTCCCTCGTTTGTGCCACGAGCGCGCTAATTGCTATCACTGTGATTTCTCTCGTAGATGCCTTCCATTCAAGGGACACGTACTGAGGAATAAATTGTGATTTAACAATCGCATTACAATGCAGCAATGTCGATTTTTCCCTTACGTTTGCTGAAATTTTGAAGTAAATTACATTCATTATAATTGTGTCTCACATTGATTAATCGTTCTTAAGATTGAAACGCGGCCATCAAGTTCGAAAAATATTGCAGATTAAGTAGAAACCTGAGATTTTGCCTGATTTCGACTTTGCTCATGCTAGGTGTATACGAAATTCTTTTTTTACGTTTGATATAAAATTTCTCGTGTCGTTCGGAGCGACTTTTATCATCCGTTGCACGCCAGCTATTTATTAAAACTAGAATCATTCTGCATATCATTTGGATTTATATTTATGGATATTTTAGAAGAAAAAAGGCAGATATATATATGTCAAACGTCAACTAGAAAAATAATCGACTCGATTTTTCTCGAATATGTTAATCTCCGGCACGCGAGCGGTGACATTTTCTTTGTATGTTTCCTTTTTGCGACATTCGCGTAATTATACGTTACTTACACTCGATTCCGTGTAAAGTTTCGCGCGAACATCCGTTACTTGATACGTATTATAAAAACCGGTTGGCGATAAAGTGGACGAGCGATCGTCGGGATATACCTGCATTGCGAGTAAATGAGTCGAGCGAGAATTCATCGTCGGAGATTATACATGAATATTTGAACACTGCCGAAAGAGCATCGCACCGCTTAGTGTCGACCTGACATCTTCGAGGAGTTTGCGGAAAGTTACACCGGAATTTCTCGACTGGTTGTCATTCAGGTATCCGAATATCTGAATCACGACGACCCATCGCTCACGCGTCGCGAAAAACCGATATCGCACGCATCGTCCCGCGAGTCGATGATCGATGGATCGTCATCTGAGTCTGGGAAAAAAACCGCATCATCATGTCCTCGGATTAAAACAACCGTGAACATCGAGTACCTGACGAACAACTAAGAATCAACACTCTGTATACACCGACAGCATTTGGCACACGCATCTTATGATCCGATCTGTATGCGCGATGCAACGAACAAATGTAGAAACAAATAATAGTGCGATCAGCAATGTTTCTCTCGGCAGCAGTAAAAAGCTTCGCGAAAACATTCCTGGAGGATACTAGGACTGGAATAACAAGCTGATATTTTCAAAAAAGTGTTGAGATTTTTAAAGACCTATTTAAAAATATATAACCGAAATGTTAATCCTAGCTATACAGACAGTCTGAGGTTTCTGAAGTCTCAGTGAAATTTAAAAACTTTATATGAAAAGAATGGTTTTGCTAAAGTATTTAAAAATTTAATTAGATAGATCTGAAAATAATTTTATTAGATTATTAAAATAATTATGTAAACGCTCAAATTAATTGCTAGAATGTCAAAATTTGTTTACATTATTACTCATCATATTTGAGTCTCCTACATAATTATTTTGATGATCCAACAAAATTATTTTCAAGTCTATCTAAATTTTTAGATTCATCATCAAAATTGTTCTTTTCGTGTATTATTAGTAGAATTAATGAACTAAAAGTCATGTTTTCCAGTATTTATTTTAGTATATAGATTTTAAACAATTTTTGAGCGAAGAATAGACATATTTTTAGGTTACTTCTTTTTCTTCTTCTTCTAATAACCATATAAATATATGAAAAATAAGTATGTATAGCTAAAGTTAAGTAATGATAAATATGAGAATAATTTATATTTGTCCATGGTTTAACATAGGTTAAATGATAAATAATTTACATATATGTAAAAATCAAGAGTCGTAATATCTAGAGACATGTGCTTATTTTGCTTTAATTGGCAGATTAAATTATAATACACAGATTAAATCATAATACACGCAATATATCATGATGTGCGAATAAGTTTCAATTGTCGGATCTTGGAAGTTCAATCCACGGAGAAATTTATTCAAGTAAAATCCGAGAGGAGCCACGGGTGTCTTTCTTCAGCGAAGAGCTCGATAAATGTAAAAACTCAGGTTGACGACGGTGATGCTCCGGGCGATACGAAGTGTCAGATAGAGAAGCTTGTAAAGAACACGAATAGGAGGAACGTCGAATAGGAAACGAACGGCGGACCTCCGCAGCGCGACTGCACTTCCAGGATTTATAGGCCATTCGGAAGAGAATCGGTTATCCTGTGGACACAGATGCGCCGGTGTTTGCGCGCGGAGCATTTGTCACGCGTGTCCTGCGAGCGAAAAGGGACCGGCGCGGTGGCCGATCCGGATCCTCTTTATGCGTGCCGATGATGCCCTCTTTGCAACGAGGCCCAACCAAGTCAATATTGACTTCAGGCCAGATTGATGGACCTTCCTCGCGTGTGTGTTTAGGTCTCGCAGTACTCACTTATGTTCCCACCCCGCACGACTCGTCTATCCATATTTCTCTATGCTTTCCTTTCTCTCTCTTTTTCTTTCTGCCGTCTCTATTTGTTAAATGTTACATTCGTAAAAACGTGAAAAACCCCGCTAATTCCCTACA